TTCATGTACTGGGCTTTGTTGATTTTTCATGTTTGTAAATCTGATGACTGACACTTATGCAAATTTTTCTTTTTAATACAAAGCTTTTATTGCATTTTAAATTAGTTTGTTGTTAATATTTTAGTTGGTAACAAAAATTATTTAAGAGTTATGAAAGTATAAAACCATTCAAAAATATTTTCTGGAATAACAATTATTAGGTAGCAAATTACTTTTAAAAATGATTAACTTCTGTATTTCAACACATTTCCCTAGTTTCTAACATTTTTAAACAAAATAAAAGTATATGCCATCCTTTAAAATATGTATTTAAGACTTGAGGTTTATGATCAATTAACCTCAAATTGCTATAAAATGGTGACAATATTATCTCTTTTTACATTTGGCCAACTAAATTACCATCAGAGGGCATTTCTTTGTCACTAGAAACCTGCTTTACAATAGGACCTTTTACTAGGCTATGTTACTTCTATTGAATTCTTTTAATTATCCCTAAATGACATTACCTAATGAGTTCCATGGTTTCTTTTTTATATTAAGAATGCTTTCAAAAATCACCATTTTATGAAGGTTAAAATCAAATTATTGAAAAATCTCTCCTAAGCTCCTATGCTTCCCTTTTCTTATTCTTACAGTTCCTGTACTTGCTTTTTTGTTTCTTTTCTTTCCTCTCTGTTCTTTTTTTGTTTTTCTATTTCTTTCAATTGGAAGGATTATACTGAGGAATATTGAAACTTTCTGATACCATTAACATACAGCATAGTTTTTTAAAAAAGAAATCCCAGTTATCCTTCTCCCCAATATGTATTCCAAGAAAGAATAAAAGCTTTTATATAATATTAATCTAATAGAAAAATAAGACATTAAAGAAAGCAGTGAAAACTTATTTTTCTCTAAAAAATTTCCCATAATATCAAATTAAAAGATACTAATGTTTGATGTTACCCATTAAGTCCTTTGATTTAAGAGATAGAGTAGGGAAAATGTAACTGAAATAGATAAACCCAGAACTATTTTTCAGTCACTTAATATAGTAAAAGTTTATAGCATTTCTCTCTTACGTAAAGTCCAGTGGGCAGAATGGAGCTAGTGGAAGGGATAGCATGGTATAGAGATTATTGAAGAAATTCAGATGATGGAAATTCTGTCATTCTTCAGGCTTCCAGGATTGTCAATAACGACTGGAATTTTCTAGTAGTCATCAAGGGATGAATGTAAGTTTTCAACTATGCTGGATAAATTTGACAAGTGTTTTTTATTTGTTTGCTTGTTTGTTTTGCTTTTTAATGCAGCAAATGTTCTTAATAAACTGTTTTGGTAGATCTTTTAAAAAAACTTTAACTTTTATTTGCAATGTAAATTATTAGAAATCAAGAACATTTATAAAGTATTACCTTGATATAAGGATAATAATGCCAAATAAGACACTCAATTTCAGAAAAAAAATGCTGTTATTCAAATCAATTAAAGAACCAATTCCATTTATTTAGCAAACATTTATTGACTAGACTACTATTGTATGCCAGATAATAAGATATATTTTATTGGGGTATTTATGTGTATTGGAGATTATTAGAATATATTTAAGAAAAAAATTTTCTTAAACTGTTTATTGATTTTATCAGCTAATTTGTTTATATCATCATGATAACTCTTTTATTGCTAACATAATAGAAATTAGTATTGAAAGCATTTGATACAAACCCGTAAAGTATGTATCTCCTCTTCTTAAGACAGTGAAATTGTGAAAACTGCATATTTTTATATTGTCTTTTTGCATCCTTTTAACAGTGATGCTCTTCACTGAGTCACAAAATTTAAATAAGAAAGAATTTAAGCTCCTCTTGGAGAAATTAAGCTAGACTTAACCATCTCAACAACTAAGATTTTATATGTGTTTCAGATGGTACCAGGGGCAAAACTAGAGTAAGTTAAATACAACTTTCATGGGAGTTAATGTATTAAAAGAGGAAATCTGGAATATAACTACATTCATTGTCTATATATTGGATTAGGAAGGATGAAGGAAAAACAAATAATATTCAGGAGAGAGTTTTAAAGAGTGAATGGTTGCTATTGTCAATTGAGAAGTGAAAATCTATTGAAAGAGAAAAGACCAGTTTATGTAATTTCTAGAAAGTCATGGTGACTTTCAGTTGAAAAAAAATTTTGAGGAAAGTGGCTTCTAAAATGTGGAATATTATATAAACATTAATTATTATTAATACTAACATTAGTATATGAGGCAGATACCACATTACAAGGAGTTGAAAGGTTTATGAGGAAATTGATGAGGAGGTGGCTACATTGACCACTTGCTCAGGAAACTAGAGGAAGCTACAGAGCCAATCAAGTAGATTATTGTTTTTTCTTTTTAGGATGTGTAAGACTTGTGTACTTTTGAAAAAATTAATATGAGGTAGAAAGACAGAGCTTGAAAATATTAGTGAAAAGACTTATTATGTTTTAAAAAAAGACACCTCAGTGGTTGGAAAGATTAGGATCACTGACTTTTTCTTTTATCCATTTCCTTTGATTCTAGAGAAAGGATTAGGGAATGGATATGGAAGCAGAACTATTGTGAGATGATGGGCAACCTCAGAGCTCCCAAAAGATGGGAAGGAAAAAGTTTTGGGCTTGAGTAGCTAGATTTGAATATTGTTACCACCACTTACTCCCTGTATGACTATAAGCAATTAACTTCAAAATCTCTGAGGATTGGATTCCTCTTTTCTAAAATAAGAATAATATATCCTATTGGAAACATTCTTGTGAAATTAAATTCAATCATCATTTTGAAGTATCTAGTACAGTATCTGGGATGTGCTCAGCACTCAATGGTGTTAGAATTGTCATTATCCTTGTCATCATCAAAGGACATTCTAAGGACTTCTGCTTCAAGTGAGGCAGAGGCAAGGAGAAAAACCATATTGAAGAATTGACAAGAGTGTAAAGTGGCAAAAATTTCTACTGCTTATAACTGGATCAAGAGGCAAATACAACAATTATTAATTAAGGATGAAGACCAGGTTTTTTTGTAGTGGCCAATGACCAATTAGTAGTGTCCCATATCTGTTCACTTCTGGGTCTTTTCATAGCATAATCTAAGATCATAGTGCATAGGAAGAGAAAATACACACTGATGCAGAGTTGGAATTGAATAATCAGATTCACATAACTCTCTGTTATTTTGATATTTGTCAGGCTCAAGTTACTGCTAACAAAGTATCCTCTATTATTAGTTTATTGCATATAGTACCTAATGTATTAAATCACATATATGAAAATCATAACTGAATTATTTGTTAATTTAAAAATTAACATATATCAGGGTTTCTCAAGCCCAATACTATTGATATTTTGTACTGTGTGATTCTTTGTTGTTGGGGACAGTCCTGTGCCTTGTAGGATGTCTTGCAGCATCCCTGGCTCTACCCACTAGATCAGGGGTCCTCAAACTTTTTAAACAGGGGGCCAGTTCACTGTCCTTCAGACCATTGGAGAACCAGACTATAGTTTAAAAAAAACTATGAACAAATTCTTATGCACACTGCACGTATCTTATTTTGAAGTAAAAAAACAAATGGGCAAAGATACCCGCATGTGGCCTGTGGGCCGTAGTTTGAGGATGCCTACATTAGATGAAAGTTGTACTCCCTTCCCAGTAGTGACAATCAAAAATGTCTCAAGACATAACCAAATGATCCCTAGTGGGAGGAAGCAAAATCGCCTTTGGTTAAGAACCACTGGGTGGAATGTACTCATATCTACAATAGTTGGAAATAAAAATAAAATGAATGAACATGTGACATTTGAATTTATAAAATTGCCATATTTTATGGCTTATAATAGCAATTCTATTAAAAGAATTTGTTTGTGATTTCTGTAGCTTCATAAGACTAATAGATTTAATAGAAACTTTTCTAAAAAAGACAGACCAATGGCCAAAAAATACTTGAAAAAATGCTCAACATCTCTAATCATCAAGGAAATGCAAATCAAAACCACAGTGAGATATCACTTAATTCCAGTGAGAATGGCTTTTATCAAAAAGTCCCAAAACAATGTTGACATTGATGTGGAAAAATAGGAACACTTAGACACTGCTGGTGGGACTGTAAACTCATAAAACCTCTGTGGAAAGTAATGTGGAGATACCTCTGAACTAAAAGTAGAACTACCATTTGATCCAGCAATACCATTACTGGGCATCTGCCCAAAGGAAAAAAAGACATTCTATAAAAAAGACATCTGCACTAGAATGTTTATAGCAGTGCAATTCACAATTGCAAAGATGTGGAAACAACCCAACTGCTTCTCATTCCATGAGTGGATTAATAAAATGTGGTATATGTATACCATGGAGTTCTACTCAGTCACAAAAAATGGTGGTGATCTAGCACCTCTTGTATTATCCTGGAGAGAGATGGAGCTCATTCTACTAAGTGAAGTATCATGAGAATAGAAAAACAAGCACCATATGTACTCACCATCAAATTGGTATTAACTCTTCAACACTTATATGCACATATAGTAGTAACATTCATTGGGTGTTAGGCAGGTGGGAGGTGGGAGAAGGGGATAGGTCTATTCACACCTAATGGGTGCTGTGCACACCATCTGGGAGATGGACATGCTTGAAGCTCTGACTCTCGCAAGGCAAAGGCAATATATGTAACCCAAACATTTTTACCCCCATAATATACTGAAATAAAAATAAAAAAGTAAAAAGAAGCCAAAAACATAAATTTATATTCCTTTGAAAGAAAGTCCAAAAGATAAACCATAATGTATAACAAGAAATATAAATATTTTTCTACCCGTACACCTTGATTTTACTTGAGAGAACATTTTAAACATAGCAGATTTACCCTTTTTTGCTTGAATTATTTATCTAGACAAAATGATTACTTCGATATATTTTTAAGTCTTTCATGTGTTCTTTTATTACATACTTCAAATATGTGTTGAGCAAAAATTATTTGTTTTTTGTATTCCAGTTGTTTCTTATCCTTATTACTGGTGGCTGCTGTGGTATGGAAGATCAAACAAACTTGCTGGGCTTCTCGACGAAGAGAGGTATCAGTAACACTATTTAACCTTTTGTATATTGGTGTGAGCAAACATAAGGCTCTCTACTGTCTGTTAATTAACATTTTTCTTTTGAATACAGATTTTCAAATCATTTTTAATTATTAATATTCAACAAATCAATGTAGTATTTTTCAGGCGTTACAGCAAACTTTGCCACTGTCATTTTATCTCAATATCTATAGAAACATTGGTTAGTTGCCAACAGTTTTTTTAACATGTAGTTAAAATTTATAGTGAATACAAATATTAATTGTTGATTAAATAATTTGTAATATATTTAATTTAGGTATTTAGTTATACTCTAAAAATAATTTATTTTTCGTAAGTGTCGCAATTTAAAAGAAAATTCTGAATGATACATATTAATATTTTGGGGTTTAGAAAAATTATTTTCTAGAAATTTATTATAATCTTTATTTTATAATAATGTTTGCATTTAATTTGCTACCTCTACTGAAATAGCAAATCTTTCTTTTTGAGTGGTCATGTCAAGCTACCATATTATATGTTAAAAAATATGTTGAGGCATTTTCTCAAACTTAATTTTACAAATTTCCTTTCAGTACAAATTCATAAGTGTCTTAGAAACCACTTATATATTGATGCCTAAAGTAAAGATGACACTGTCTTTGATGACTACCAGATATCTATTATTAAATAATAATTTTTATATTACAGTAATCTCCCCTTATCTGTGGTTTTATTATAGTTACCTGCTCAACTGCTGTCTGAAAATATTAAGATATTTTGCGGGGGTAGGGAGAATGACAGAGAGAGAGAAATCACATTCACATAACTTTTATTACAGTATATTGTTATAATTGTTATATTTCATTATTAGTTACTGTTGTTAATATCTTACTGTACCTAATTTATAAATTAAACTTTGTCATAGGTATGTACTTATAGGGAAAATCAAAGTATACATAGGACTCAATACTATCTGCAGTTTCAGGCATCCACTGAGGGTATTAAAATGTATCCCCTGTGGATAAGAGGGGAACTACTGTGTTAAAAGATTGCTTCTCGTTTTGTTTTTATGAGCCACAGAGATTTTTAACATACTAGTGATAGTTTATGTGATAATTCCATTTATAGACTTTATGTGAGTAGAGGTAAAAATGTGTTTTTATCTAATCCCCTCTTTATTCAGTTTTAACTATTAGATTAACTGTAATATTACCAAAAGGAATAGAGCCCAGTATTTTTTCTTTATGTAAATATGTTACTCTCTCTTCAAAACATTAAGAGATCAATTATTGCAAAGCTCAGAGGATGCCTGTGATTAGTATTAATGACAATTTATTTGTAACAGTAAACGAAAATTATTTCAAAGATTCTTCTTAGACTTTCTGTAGTTTTGTTACAGCAGTTGTACTAGTTGCTTTTTCAAATGTAAACACTGTTTAAAATGAAAATAATCTTTGGAAAATTTTAAATATATTGCACTAACTCAACTAGTTATATTGCTTTTTAACTATTTGAAGCTTTGGTTTCCTTATAAATGCAGACATACACTTTTGTGGTATACTTTCAATCTCAGAGGCCTCTTATTAATGTTATGACTTTTGAATAATACCCCTGAGAATTCAGGGATTCTTAAAAACAAAAAATGTGAAACTAGAAATGACTTCAATTTTGATTTTATCCTATGATATAGAAACTGAAACTCATTTCTATGGTAACCATATTAAGGAGATAAAAGCTTTCTTTTGGGATGTGCTAATGTATGTAAACAATAAGTAGATATTGATCAGTGAAAATATTATAACATACTATTAATAGAAAGGTGAATTCATTTTTATAGCCTGAATTTTTACAGAGGTATGGAAAACATTTAGTTTCAATAGCATATTCAATTTTAGTTTATCATCACATTACTAAAATATTTGTTATGAGCAGGTATATGTAGAAAGTAGTCTATTTAAATATTTTTCATGCTTAATAATCTTCATTTTTAAGCTGAAATTTAAATTTAAATAGATATCATAAGGCATAGAAAATGAAGATATTATAACTATCCCTTGCAATGAAGGTATTTGAGTATATATTTGACTACTGTGGGTGAAAATATCATGGATATCGTAATAGTGACAAGAAGTTAAATTGTTTCATTTGGAAACATTTATTCCCACATGTTTTGAGTGGTTTAACTGTCATATGTCTCAGTGAACATCTAAGTGCAAAATTCACAGAATAACAGATGAAAAGACAACATAGGGTTATTTTTATATCACCTTAGTATTACTATTAAGTCTGAGTATTTGAATGATCACTACATTTCCTGTGCCAGCAGTTTCTCCTTCTTAATTCTCTTAAATTTACAATTCTTTAAAAGTTAAAGAAATTAATGTCACACTTTATCATAGTATTTTTTACCTTTCAAAATATATTATGCTTCTCTTATGCTTAAAAAGCAATACAAAAAAATTACCTGGAATACCCAGTGAATGTTTGAACTTGTGTTCAGATGCTCTACTTCCCTTCACATTTCATAATAGTGAAACAAAACCTAGATTTGTATTTATTATTATCAACCTGAAGTTTGAGTTAAAAATAGTAAGCTAAAACCCATAAGTAGAGTTCTAGTAGATTTTGAGTAGCAAACTACTTTTCTAGAGGGAAATACACTAGTTCTTTCCTTCTATACCTGTTTTACAGGCACAAAAACAGATACCAAATAATAATATTATACTTCCCTAATAACATTTCATGGGTAAAGACAGTAGTTAGTTATAAAATATTCTCTGAAATGCTAAATTTTTGGTAAATGGGTTCTCATCTAATGTTATTAATGCAATGCAGCAGTGTTTTACAAATTGGGCTACTCTACCTCCTTAGTGATTCAACTTATTAAAGAGAGGGAATTGGGTGTAGAGTGACAAAAATGAGAAAATGTTATTTTAGGTGGAAAATTAAAATTAACTGATTAAGTACTTGATATAAACTTTTAGGTTTTTTCTTAGTACTTTAAAATTTGAATTTTGTGTAATGTTTAATCATTTTAATATATAGATACATTTTTCCATAAAGCATGTTTTTTAAACCATTAGTAAAAATTGTACAAAAATTTGTAGTTAATGGCCTCAGTGTAAACTTACTTTTGTTTATCATTTGTTGTTTACTGAATTACAAACTATAATGATTACCCTTGTATTCATTTTTTCATTTTATCTTAAAGTCTAGAAGTTACAGATGTTCAGCATGCCTATTTATATCATCATAGTTTTAAAATTAATATACTACTTAAAATATGTTGAATTTAGAAGTCAAATATATATAGCAAGAGTAGAATTTGAAAATTAATTGATTCTTACTGTGTAAGCATGTTTCCAAAGATCTTATTGTAAATATAATGCTTTTGTTTTGCTCAATTCAACTATTAAGGTCTTGCTGTATTCCAGACAGATTGATAAATACTGAGGATATAAACAAAAAAGACAGTGGCTTCATTTTTAGGGAATTAAGGGGAATTGAGTGAGATGCTCAAAACTTAGAACCAGAAAATGGAGAAACTGTAGTTTAACCAGGTCTGTCATATTCCAAAATTCAAGCTCTTTGAACCATACAAAGAACTTTAAATACACCTGAGTTTGAACAGGTTTGATTTCCTAATTGTCCACTTGTAATATAACTTATACATCTGTTTGTTTTAGGGCCAATATGGTTGTGTTTCATCTAATGCTATGATACAATCAATCATTAATTGATGTACCACTTAAAAAGAAAAAACAATCCACAGTCAACTATCGGGCAATGCTTTCTTACTGCTAAGAATATTTTATACTTATTGATAGGGCTCTTGTTGAATTATTTAGATATGGTTTTTATATCATTCATATTTATACATAGGAAGGAAAATAGAAGAAAATAAATTGGTAAAGTGTTGCTAAAGCTGGTCACCTCCATAGTCCAAGTTTTCATAAATCACTTTTTGACACAGGTGAAAATGTTTTCTATGTTTCATATAGTATCATTGACTAGAATAATCAAGTTTGTGTAGGCAATGACAACTATATCACAACTGTCATCTGGCCAGCAGGGATTGTACAATGCTATTGCTTGTAAAATACATTAGATTTCAGACATATTAAAATGTGAAAAAAATGTGTCTTAGAATCAATAAAATAAGGTAGATTGTACTTTATAAGATTTTTAGTACTGAGTGAGTTAATACATGCTAAGTGCTCACCTTGCTGTGTTTTATTTACTAGACTTCAGTAAATGTTAACTGTTACTATTGTTGTCGATATGTAATATAAAGAATGATTAAAATTATATTATACATCGATATTATTAACAACTCCCTTATAGCTTAGACTCCTCTTCGCCTCCATATCTACTCTAATACAGGGATTCTCAATCTAGAAGTCCCTTTAAAATCACCTGTGGATCTTTAAAAATGTGTATGTGTGTGTGTGTGTGTGTGTGTATAACATCTGTCTATGTATCTATCGGCATGCCATTCTGTCCAACCCCCAACAGACCTATAGAATCAAAGTTTCAGTGAAGAGAGGGGAGGGAGGTGCCAGTCTCTTTTAAACAACCACCTCTTCCAGGAACTAACAGTAAGTGAGAACTCACTCACTCCCCTCCCACCCCTTTCCCCTGTCCCAGAGCATTAATCTACTCATGAGAGATCTGGCCCCATGACCCAAATACCTCCTACTAGGCCCCTCCTTTAATATTGGGGATAAACCTTTAATATGAAGATTGGAGTTTCACATATCCAAACTATAGCAGTATGTGAATCAAATCTCAATAAACCCTTTACAAAAGGAGATAAAGTGAGATAGAGGGTCAGAGAGAGAGACAGAGAGAAACAGAGCAGTAGAAGTAGAAGGAAGAGAGAATGTCAAACAAATGTAGACAATTCCTTAAAGAATATTTGCTTGCTTCAATGGGGCCTTTGTACCTATAGAGCAAGAAGTATCCATACAGTTTATATTCATGCCTTTTGTTGTAGAGCAACTATTTCTGTCAAT